CGTCTGCTCTGTGACACCGTATAACCTTGTAGAGAGCTAACACGGTGTCACAAACCGTTGTATGACATTGATAAACTTATATCCAACTCATTTTAACACACTCAGCCAATTACGGCAAAAGATGTTGACGTGGTCAGGATTGCTAGTCTGCCATGGTGCGCGGAGAATTTTAAACATATTCGTTCTCTTAATAGACATGCTGTCCTTTGGTAAGTTGTAGAATGTAAATACGTACATCACAGACAGGACAACCTTGTCGGTATTCATGTCGACATACTACGCATGAATAAAAGCTAAAAGAATAACACATCTCTCAATAAGTGGGTCGCCACACTCTCAATATATATTTCTTTAACAGGGGGTTTTTATTTCTCAGCGCTGATTAAAATATTGTCACGTGTCTGGGGTTCCGTGACGAATAATAAGGGTTTCTGAATGAATGACTGGATTTACTAACACATTCATTTACAATTTCCCTTGATCACAATCAATTATAGCGCTATTGCTAATCTACTTACTTCACAAATCACTAGGACACGTTAAGTCTTCTCAGTCATCACTAGTCGTATCCTGGCAACGGATTTATAACAATCTCAATGTAACTATGGCACATATCTATTCTTTCTGCAGGCCAATTCAGTTGTAATTCTTTATACATCTTTAATCCTCATTCTAACTCTTCTGAATTTTCTGAACTAACTCCTCACCTGGAATTTCGTTTTATATAGTTCCGGTGCGGGCCCCAAGGAAAACACCGTCTCTCAACAATTCGTATGGTGTTTACCGCTCCCTTGCCCAGAAGTAAACGTCCTATTTTTCCACGGTACTTCTGCGGGAATGTGTTTAGTGACCCGTTGCCTAGCAATGGGCATGCCGTGGACCATATGGAGAACGATTCTTGTAATACCTTTTCTATTGTTGCGTGCGCGTATTTCGGGTTTTGCCTAGGAATGGGTCTATATGTCACAATACTGTCACGTACGAGTATTATGAAGGTGTCACTATAGACTGGGTTTGGATTTTTTAATGGATTCGTTGACCACTTATACACTCACGATTAGAAACTACGAGCAATTACAGTGTCACTGCTAATCTCCGGGACTCACAGATAACCACAGCATCTTCTTTGCCTTTTTCCAACTTGCTGTGTCTTCAAAAAACATTCCCTGGCAGCGACTTCTAATAGTGTAGATTCTTCAGCTTCACGCGCTCAGGTTCTATCTTCACAGCCTCCCATACAGAACTCAACTATCTCAACTAAATGAGTCTCCCCAGTTCTCTTCCTTATAACCACTTTGCACGGACCGACTGTAAAACACCGTTTCCAACAATAACTTTATTTTTGCATGCGCATTCTTTACTGCCAGAACGTGTTTACCGATCCTTTGCCTTACAAATGAGGTTGTATAACACCGTTGTTTGTTCGCCTACTTCGCAGTCATTGCATAACAACGGTTGTACACGTTAAAATACATTTGTATCCACCCACAGTTTTGGAAAGTCAGTAAGATTTATTATGGGACTTTTCAGTAAACGTAATTGCATATGATGTAACCCATCATTGGCCCTATCACCAATTCACACAATCTGCAGTTCACCAGTCGTTGCCCGGTCACGGCTTTCAGTGGTGGACTTTCCCCTTACTATGTGTTCCCAAAGTATCCCTGTTCCTCGGCATTATCCGAAATGTTACTCAGTAGCCTTATTGCAACCGTTCACAGCCTCCGTCTGTCCAAGCAATTGGTTTTCAGTTCATTTCGAGATAGCGTTACCCGTTCTCTGGCAATGACACCGCTTTCCCCGTCTCATTTATTGCTGCTTACGGTTTCATGTCTTCTCATCCAATTTTATTGTATAGTTCTTGTGTGTTTTTGCGCATTAACCGAATCGAACCAAGAAAAGTGCAATTGAGTCTGACCCAACTGAGAAGATATCGAATCCTGTGCGCCCCACTAGACGCAATCCATTCGCTATGGAGACGAAAATACGTCATAATCAGTTAGTGACGTTGAGCGTTGCGTCATCAAGAGGAAGTTCTTGGATCCCATTTTCTACACCGTTACGATGTGATTTTAAATTATTGTCAGTCTTACAGTGACCTAGAATTCTCAAACTGAAGATAACAAAATAAAATTGCTTACGGAATATTACAGTGTAATTAAAGAAGTTAATTCCACGTATAATGTAACTTTGATTATAACTCTTCTGGAGACTCTACATGAAATTGAAGATGTTATTAAAATGGATCTCAAATTAGTCAGATACGAGGGTGACAGAGGATACGTCTGGCTTAGTACAAGGACTGGCTGTGGGCTGTTGTGCGCACTGTAATGAAATATTACGTTCCATAATAATTTCTGAAAGCTCTTCGACTGACTCTCGGCCAGTAAAGAAGGAAGATAGTTAAACACCCAGGCTACTGTAAGCTAAGGATGTATCGGAAATACATCCAATTAAGATCACTTTCTTCTGGGATGTAACTTCACATAATCTGGTAGCGCTCATACGCTCTCTCTTGAGTTATTTCTTTGCGCCGTGACTGTACGGCAACTTCTCCGACTTTCCTGCTGTGGGTGCAGTCTGAATATCTGGGGTTAATGCCAACGACCGCACGCAAGCCCTCCCTTTACTTGGCTGTGTACAGGTCGAAAGTTAGAGATTACCGGCATTCGGGATGTGTAGCCGTGGGGTCTAGTGAATCGTTAAGTATGTCTCGAAGGGACGTATTCAAAGTCAAAGTCACAGCTACTTTACGACTGGCGGTTTACTGTCAGTTAGATAGTCTTGGCGTCAGGCTCCTTGAGACCCACGACCATAGATTTTTTCAGCTGAACCCTTGCAGTAATAGTCCTTATGTAACATCTTCGCTGTCGAGAAGTCAAAGTCACATTGCGACTGACGGTCGTTCAGTAAGTAAGTCTTGGTGTCGAGCCCCATCTAGGGCTTATGACCAGATATATCTTACTGTTTGACAGTTACGGTCTTGTTCTTGTGGGGCGCCCTCTCTGACGAGAGGACAGGTCTGTCTTTTGTATATGCTGTTGGTCCTTATCAGCGCATTCTTTCTCAGGTCCGAGTCCCTCGAAACTCGAAACCATATTTTACTGTCTCAGATTTCAGACTTCCCTTTCCGTTACTTTCTACGACTCGCAGGATCACAGTGGAGGTATTCTACCGCCCCCTCCACACGGGGGTAGGGACATATTGCCTCCGTGACCTTGCTTATAACATCTCGGAACGGACCACCTAGAAACACCGTCCCTCTATTGCAGTGCAACTGTTGCGTTCCTGTCCGTTTGCGGAGTCATTGCCTAGCAACGACTCGACATGCCGCAAATGACCATCGTTCTTCTAGGGGGTGCTGAAAGTGGAAGTTTGGAGTAGCTAAGAGTGGATGAGAAATGTTTTGGAAGTCAGACGGTAGAAGCAAAGCTTAAATACCCAGACTGTAGCGGCTGGAGGATGTGTAGAATGATGAACGAGATCTGAAAACGTAAATATGGAGGTAAAATGGAAAGGCGTATTTGCTATAGAGGAGACCGAGACTATTAAAGAACCGTGCACACAAGGAGATGTATGAGCATGTGTTATTTCTCTGCACCGTGACAATGCGGCAACTTCTCTAACTCTTCTGCTTGTAGGGCAGTCTGAATGTCGGGGGTTACCGTTAACGGCCGCAATCAAGATTACTGGCCTTTGGGATATGATACCGTGGGGTCTGTTAGATCGTTAATTACATTTCGCAGGGACGTATTGCCTCCATTATCAGGGCGGAATGGGATGAGAATGAGGAGGAAAAGGAGCTGTAGAAATGTCCGTTTCGAGACCACTAGTCCCCGTATCTTCTGTTCGAATTAAATGCTGCATTACGCCTACGCATAAGGTAGTGCAGACTACACACGCTCTCCTGACAATATAACCTCTCTCACGTAATAAAAACTTCAAATCTCATATAGACCACAAATGTTTACTGAATGGAGCGGATCTGTGTGTAACTGGCGGGGAGCAGACGATATAGCAGATCCAATTTTGTTACACAGTTCCAGATGGCAGCACTATCATAGCTTCTACACACTTCCTACTTTTTTTTCTTTCCGGTCACAGTTTGAATATCAGTGAACCTTCAGTTTTTTTCAGCTGCAGCCAAAAGACAGATGAGAGCGGGACGTGATCATCCCATTGCAATTCAGCAGTAGCATTCATTTGTCCACAACACGTGTAGCGTTACATTCCCAGAATTCCGCTTCAACACTGGAGCCTGAACAAGCTACAGTTGCGAGTAAGGGGTGGAGTTACAAGCTTTATAATTGCTCTAGTTTATATCGGGAGCATGAGCATGGCGTGCATACAATTCCCAATTGCCAGCCTTCCAATTATGCATGTCTCGCTGGATTTCAAGTCTATTTATTACGAATGTAATCCCATTGAGAAGAAGATAAAATACAAGACAGAGATAGAGATACATGACGCACTCATGGAGCTGAGCCCTTCTTGAGAAGCCGCCAATTTTTTTTTTAATCTCTCTCTACAAATTTGTCCGAAAATCTATTTTCGCTCTCACAAATATTTATCGATCTACGTTCTCGTTCGTGCAAAGTATCCGTTATTTTTGCACAGATTTTAATTTGTTCAAAGGTAATACTAAAATTTATACGAATCCATTCGGTGCCTCTCAAGTTACTAGGCTATTAGGTCCATATTTGCAGTTTTCTCAATGCTAACTCGCCAAAAAGACTGTCGCTGTGTTCAGACCAATTAATTTTTCCTGTACTCGATTGGCAGGTCACCAAATGCTTTTCCTCACCCACTCGATCCGAGCTGATCTCTCTCTGTACGCAGGAATGGAAGTAGCTGCCAGTACATGCCTTTATGAGTGTCCCTCTTTGGCAGGTATCCAGCATTCATTTTGTCGCTGTTCTCCGTCCTGTTCTAGCTCACTGTTCACTCCTTTCTTGTTAGTGATCTCGTGGTCGTCTCGCAATGTTGCCATATACGTTCGATTACACCAGCCGAGCCCGGACTGCACATTGCAGGCATGTACTACAGTCAGAGAGCGATCTCTGTGGCCGTGATTTCTCGTATATCGATTCTAATACTCGTGGCCGTTCGTGGTTAGGCCTGTGTGAATGCTGTGACTGTGACCCGCTCCTGACGCGGTTTAGAATTGTGAACTGAACCTTGCAGTCGGTGTTGAATGCAGCAGAATCTGGGCTTGTGTTTCACCACGTGTGCTGAATACTACGTAACCTTCTCTTCTGTCCAACATTCGGTAAGACACAACACGTGTTGTAGTGTTTATCTGAAATACCCGTTAGGTTTTTAGGGGGTTATAAAAGACACTGCGTTGTGTGTGTGTGTGTGTGCGCGCGTGTGTTTTGTATTGCGCAGGCGTACATGTATTAACTGCACAACGCTTCAGATTTGGAACATGTAATGCACGGAGCTTAGATAGGATAGGTTCGTTGGTAACCGTCGCTAAATATTATTAGAATGATCATGAGGAGAATGAAAGGGGCTGGGTATGTACTGCGCGTGGGAAACAACAGATAAGTGCTACAAGTTTTGTGTAGTAAAACACTGATTATTAGGGAGACCTAGCTATAAATGACAGGATAATATTAAAACGGATGTTAAAGAATTGGGAATGGATTTATCTGGCCCAGAACACGGACCATTGACGGTATTTTGTTAATATGGTAATGAACTTGGTGTTTCTTTAAAATGTTAGGAATTTCTTGAGTAGTTGAACAAACTGTTAGATTCCAAGGAAAAGTTATTTTTGTAGTTATTTATTGCCGCACACCACAAGAATTTTAACTTTTTTCTTTTTAGAGCCGGGATAGCTCAGTCAGTATAGCAGCTGGTTACGGGCTGGACAACAGAGGGTTCGGAGTTCAATTCCCGATAAGGTGAGGAACTTGAAGCTTCACCACCGCAAAGTATTAGCCTCCTTTATTTTCTGTGTCTGGCTTCGCCTTGTCGTATACCGCGAACATGTTCATTCTCATGATTTTGTAAGACTTCTGCTTTTTCCTGCACAGTTTTGTTATATAATCGTATACATACGGAAGGTTGAAAGCTGTGTGGAAATCGTGAACCATGGTTCTGACAGATTTTAATGTATTTAGCAACCAAATATTTTCGATTCAGGAACGATCGATTTCGTTTCCAAGGTGACTTAATCAAGGTCAGTTGTATATGAGAAAGAAAACAGCAGCGTTTTATCAACGGGTTCTAAAATGTAGAAATTAACTTTTCGTTAATATTTGTCTTTGTGTCATTTGACTGGTTGAAGTGTTTTATGACCACAGTGTACGTAACTGTAATAGAATTAATTTATTTATGTCACGCTGGTGCATTCTCAGAGTGGTTAGGTTGGCAGCCCGCGGGGGATCTCCACAGTTGACTTCATTACGAGACTTGCGTGCTGGGATATGGCGCTACCGCGCAGTCCTTAATTGGTTTTGTAACGAAGGAAGCTATTGAGAGCTGTTCTCATAAAAGGAGAGCGTTATGAAAGCGGTAACTCACACTCCTGCAGCAAAAAGTTTACAACTGATTTGAATGATTTTCTCCAACTTATCTGTGGCTTTCGGGGCAAGAATTGTGATTGTTGACACAAATGTTAGGAAATGAGCTCATGCTAATACAAGAGTGGCCATATATATATCATAATGTAGGTTATATACGGACATTTTCAAAGTTTAACCGAAATATAATGTACGTTATGTAGTGTGATGCTCTCTCAAAAGATGGTGCTACTCACATTAATGCCAGAGTCACCTTACCCAATGGCAGATCAGTAAACAAAAACGTGACGGTGGAACGGTTATTGTTCGTGCAGAGCACGATAATTACAATTTCTGGGCCGCTCTCATGTAAATATTACTTATTGAGGGCGTGTTTGTTTTTTTGATAACCTGAGTATTCGTGAGATATACTGACTGCAACAGCGTGTGAAATGGGAGGCTCTTTCTTGCACACCCAGTTTCCTACGCAGTCTGAGACTGTGCAGTTAAAACTGGGAAAGAAGCTGCGAAGTCTCAAACTGCGCAATTTTCTACACATAGGTGTACAAGAAAATCAAGGAATTTCGCTCTGTTAACTATTAATATTGGCCACTTCACTATCGTTGAAAATTTTGTCCTGACATCCACTGAGGAATTTGTATGGACGTCGCTATCACTACTTTTCTGGAGGGAAAATTAATCCAGACTCGTAAGAAAACAAATTAGTTTACATCTGTATCACAATTTGCTTCTCCGTCAACTGTTTTTACTTTGGCGACAAACACTACATAATCCTCCACTTTCTTGACTCAATAGCTGCAACCTTTTGACTCCGCCTTCCAGACGCATTTCAGACACCGAAATAACTCAACGAGTTCTATAAGAAACTCCTCTGATCGGTTAGCCATGATTAAAAACTGACAAAGTTACAACAGTGACAATTGTAGCAGAAAAATACAGTAAACTCATATTAATTCGGTTAGAGTTAGTCCGGATAGAAATAACAAATATGAAAAATGCTGCTCACAGTTTATTTATTTATTTATTTATTAAGCAATCAGAATCTACAATTCTATAAGCTAGTTTGCTGGCGTAAGAGCTGTGATGCTCTCTAATGACGTGGTGAGTCCCTTCCCCAGTGGGAGGTTCCTCATTAGTTTTCTTTTAGGTCAGCTGGCCAGTGTCTTCGGAGTCTTCGATTGTGCTGCGGTTCAACGAGTGGCTGTAGGATGTCGTTTGGGTGATTTGCTAGTTTGTTGTCGTGTGAGGTACTTTTTTCTCTGATGACGTCCTTGATGCATGGTATATTTAGGTCTGTATGTAACGTTTGGTTGTTTACATACCAGGGTGTATTTGTTATAATTCGAAGTATTTTTGATTGGCTTCTCTGGATTATTGATATATTTGATTTGCTGGCACAACCCCAAGAGCTCAATTCCGTAAGCCCAGATTGGTTTGATTATTATCTTATAAAGCAGGACTTTGATTTCTATGGATAGGGTGCATCTTCTTCCAATTAACCGGTTTAGCTCCTTGGTTTTTAAGTCTATCTGTTTGCATTTTTTGATTACGTGGTCTTTCCAAGTGAGTCTACTATCCATATGGATTCCGAGATATTTAACGCTTGGAGACTGTGAGATATTGTTATTATACAGTCTTACTTGTGGGCAATGCTCTCGCCTTAACATGAAATTCACTTTGACAGATTTAGTCTCGTTTATTTTTATTTTCCATTTCTGCTCACAGTTGAATACATGTACTTTACGTGTAAAATAAAGGTGTCATTTAGGAAGGCAGATGAGTCAATTGTCTGTTCAGACAAAATTTGAGACAGTTTCTTCAAACCTTCATCACTACGTTAAAAAATAAGCACAACTTTTGATGCTTCTATTGGTGAATAAATGTATCGACATTTTATAGATTTTAAATAAAGGCTCTACAGTGGTATTTTTTATTTATTTATTTTCATCAGCACTGCTAATGCCATCCCTGGGGGAACGCGGTAGCGTAGTTGGTTGAGCCACTATGCTACAAGCCAGAATGTCGCGGGTTCAAATCCCTATGAGGTCATTGGATTTTTCAATTGACTTAATCCTTACAGGCGCACCATGGCCCTGCAGTCGACTCAGCCTCTAACAGAAATGAATATCAGGATTCTTCCGGGGGGTAAAGGGGGTGGCCAGCGCGTAAGGCTGACAACCTCACCGCCATCTGTGAGCCGACTGTCTAGAAAATGTAGGAACCTCGACGTCTCACAGCCCAATAGGCCTTTACAGCCTGTTACAGGTATAGCTTTACCATTTACCTACTTATATCATTAAATTTTCCATATGTTCTGTGTTTCTTTTTCTTTTGGGGATACATTTGTTTTCACCACTCAGGATTATATTGTGACTAGTTATCTTACGTCCATCGCCGCGCAACGGCTACAATGGAAATTGTGGAGATCCCACAGCGACGAATTGCCATTGACTAACAACGGATGAGACGAAACACGTTACCAGTATATAAAGAGCGTTCCCGAAGCAACGGATTGCCGAACACGTGAGATCGAACCTTGGCGAATGGTGTCTCATATCCGATCTGCATAACACCTACATAAGCCTTCTAGCAACGCCGTTGGAACCACATATAAGGAGTTAGAGGTGGGACTGCAGAGCAACCCCTTGTGGAGGCGGGGTCGAACACTTCCACCGTGACCCTGCCGGTCGTAGGAGACGACGAAAAGGGAAGTCTCAATTCTGAGACAGTAAAATATGGTAGTGAGTCCCAAGGGTCTCGGACCCGAGTAAGACTGCGCTGGCAAGGACCAGCAGCATATACAAAAGACAGACCCGTCCTCTTGTCAGAGAAGGCGCCCCACAGAAACAAGACCGTAACTGTCAAACGATAATAATTAATATCTGGTCATGAGCCCCAAATGGGGCTCGACACCAAGACTTACTGACTGACTGACCGTCAGTCTCAATGTGACTTTGACTTTAACTTGAGTTGGAACCTAGCCTTCATACAGCACAGTTGGAACCTAGTCGAGACGCCGCAGAGGTCACGTGATACCACAAGCGATAATAACTACATGGTGTGTAAGTGTGAGTGTCCAATAAAGAGGCGCTAAATCCGAGACCCATGTGAAGTTGTTTGTCGCGTGACATACCCAACACGTGACAATATCTTAATCCGGATAACCCCTTCCCCTATTACTCCGGATTATCGAGGATTTAGTGTACTGTCTTAACAATAGAAATCGTGAGTACAACTGAGTTAATTCACGGGGCGGTTGTACTGTGTTAAGCAAACTTCATTCGGCCCCCAAGTCTGAACTGAACACTCCACAAGTTTCTCCCCATGCGTACAGTTGGGCTGCACATTTAGAACTGTGTGTATACAAAATCCGAAGTTGCTGAGTGCCCCCAAGCGGATGTGTTAGCAACTCTAAAGTGGTCTAACAGGCGATAAAAAGAGAAAAGAAAACAGCAATAAATATCTTGTTAAATGTGCTAATAAAACACGCTTTCTGTGGGCCAGGGTAAATCTTAAAACAAGAGAGGATAAGAAGGCGTAAACAGGGGAATAAATTCATGTCAATTGAATAAACATGTCTGCCTCTATATGCCACATTGTGGGACAATTTGTGATGACACCCATCCCTGGTCCCTGCCAACGTTTCTGAGGCACCTGCTGCCTCCATCTTCACTACGTAGGCCGCCCCACAGTTCAAGCAGTTAGTCGCTGGCTTCCCAGCGCGCCGGCCCGGGTTCCA